TTCTCTAAATGCCCATGGCTTTCCCACCTGTTGAAATCAGTTTGTAAGTTAATTACTTTTTGAGCTCTAGAAGAACATATTCTGGAGAAATGCAGAGGGATGCCATGGGATGTCAGCTGCCTGGTGTGAGATTATCTGTCTGCATCTGCTATCTCTGTCTATGTGTGCCTGTCTGTGTGTGCCTGTCTGTGTGTGCCTGTCTGTGTGTACCTGTCTGTATGTGCCTGTCTGTGTGTGCCTGTCTGTGTGGGCCTGTCTGTGTGTACCTCCAGAAGAAGAAACACTACTGAGAAAACTCAGAAGGCCCTTGCATGTTGGGGCTTTAGCAATGCTCTTTATCAAAAGCTATCTACTTGAGACCCCAGCATTCCTAACTCCAATCCTCTTCCCCACACCCTGCGTTCTGTGAGACTCGACTCCTAATCCCCAAAGAGAGGGCGCTTCAGTACTGTGCAGCCCTTGTCCCTAGCCCACCTGTTCCTGGTCGCAGCTCCACGGTGCAATAGCCCTCAATCCATTGATAGCTGGGGAAGTGAATAACGGTGCCGTCTGGGGTCGTGATACTGACTCGACTGCAGTACCAGGGGTCCTTGCAGAAGAAAGCGAAGCGCTCCTTGTGTAGGCGCAACAGCAAGATCTCACCCAGCTCCGCGGCACAGCGCACCTTGTACTTCTGAACCTGCAGTGGTGGAGGCAGCAGGCAAGCCAGTGAGAGGCGAGGAAGTGCTGAGGCGTCTTTGCACTTGGACGGGTGCAACAACACCTCCACTTATTCTGGCACGTAAGCCTGAGCGCTGGCTGATCCGTGTGGTTCCTTCGTGTGAACGAGAAAAAGAGCCTGTCTTCATCCATGCTGAAGCAGGCGCCATACTTAGTGCCTGTGCGGAGTTTTGCTGGAGTTCCTAGGCTCCTTGGCCAGTAGGGCACTTTTATGTAGGGCCACTAGCAAACTATCCTAGGGGCTGACAAAGGGAAGCAGACCCCTTCCAGAGAACAGGAAATCCATGGTCAGAGCCTAGTGTCAATAGTGGGAGGAGCCAGGCCAAGCAGTGATGGTGCGCGCCTTTCATCCCAGCACTCAAGAGGCAGAGGCAGTTCTGGCCAGCCTGGTCTACAGAGTGAATTTCAGGACAACCAGAGAAACCCTGTCTGGAAATAATAATAATAATAATAATAATAATAATAATAATAATAATAATAATAATAATAAAAGTGGAGGAGGAGGGGCCAAGAAGCCAGGGGAAGTCCCCAGAGCCCCTTCCAAGTGCTCCTTCTTCTCCACAGCCCTGTCTCAGAACAGTTGGCGTGGTTTATCATCACTCAAAAGGCAGGGACCACAAAGGAAGTGGTGACAAGGTTATATTGAGCATCTTGAGTTCATCACGGCTTGAGGAATCCAACAAGAATAACCCTGCTCTCCATCAGGTTCCCGGGTGAGGTCTGTTCCATAGAGGTCCTCCCATCTCTCCTGTGTACTCACCGATCCAGTGGCGAAATCCCTGCCCACACGATCCAGCTTCTGCTTAGGGCTCTCACCACAGGTGCCCACCAAAGTAGCGTAGATGTTGTCCAGTGTGCCAGCCTTCAGGTAGGAACCAGTGGTTACACACAGGCGGTAAACTGCCATGGTGGGACCCGACAACCCCAAAACAGAGAAGGTGAGCTACAGGTAGAACAGTGTCGTCTCCTGGGCAGCAGAAGGCTGGGGGGCTGGGGAAGGGCGAGCCTGAGGACGGGCCCAGCTCTGGGATGTCCCTGGGCTCGCTCTCTCGCGCTCTCTTTCTCTCCGGAGCTCCACTGGTAGCTCAGGAGTACTCTCCCCGCCCACAGTCTTGCACCTTAGTACTTGTTTGCTTGCCTCTGACACACACCGCCGGTCCCTCTGGCTGGCTCATCCAGATGGATATCAGGAGACTGGGTCCATTGGGGAGGGAGGGAAGAAGGGAGGAGGAACCAAATGCCGGGAGGGAGACAAGGAGGAGGTGACGCGTGTGTGACTGGGACACTACTCTGTGCCTGATCAGAGGCTTGACTAATGTCCTGAGGCCCATGTTCACCCACTCCCCTGTTTCCACCCAGACCCTTTTCCTCCTATTTCCAAACCAGAAATGGGCACCAGAGCACCCGAATTCCTACATGTGAATCAGCCATGTGAATCACACCGTACATCGGAAAGCTGCACCAATTCATAACTCACACGTGACCCCAGCAACAATCAAGTGAAGAGCGCACTCATCTCAGGTCGCGGCAGGTGGTCTTGTTCTCTCCATCCTGCCACCGACACACCCATTTCCTCCCCAAGCCTAGTTCCCTCTCTGTCCCCAGTTTTTGGTATTCCCGACCTCAATAGCGCCTTTGGAATAGGGCCTGCCAAGCGAATGGAGGCCCGCCCGACGGCATTTGGAGGCCCCCGTGTGACATTCTTGACGCTCCAAGTCCTCCCTCAGCCTGCCTGCTAGACCGTGGGAGGCAACCCACGTGCCCTAGGTGGCGGAGATCTAGGTCACCAGGGCCAGGGAAGAAAGACGGGCAGGACCAGGGGAACCCGTAGCCCGCAGCGGCCCCGCGTGGCAGGTCGAGGCACCTCGGGATTCCAGCCTGCGTGGCGCTCCCGCCCCTGCGACCTCCTTAGACAGACCTCTAAGGAAGGCACCGGCATTAGCGACTAGGCTTCATTATGTCAGGAGCCTAGACACAAATACACATCCTTCCTTGTCATTTAAATGAGCATGACTAGAATACAGAAATTTAGAAAAATACTCTTTTAGGCAAGAGTGCAGGCACTCGCTCAGAGCCCGGATAGCTCAGTCGGTAGAGCATCAGACTTTTAATCTGAGGGTCCAGGGTTCAAGTCCCTGTTCGGGCGCTAGGTTTTTGTAGACCTCTATACATACCTACAGAGCTCTATCTGCCATTATGTATTACTTGACGAGAGCAATATAATAGCAAAACGATTTCCTTCTTTTAAAAAGAGATGTAGATAAATGAATTGGGAACGGAATTTCGTCCAGTGGTAATAAGAGGGAGCAGCACTGTGTCTGTAAACCAGGAATACGAGTTTAAATTTTCTAAAAGTCACATGAAGAAGAGTAAAAAGAAGTTGGTGAGGTTACTTTTAATAGTATATTTCACTTAAAACAAATATTTGAAAATCTTATTCTAACTTGAAACTGGTATTTTAAAGTCAGCATTTTAACTAAATTTTTGGTCTTTCGTAATCTTCAAGTTTAGAAGGAGCATTCCTATCTCAGGTACTCGATAACCACATCTAGTAGTTCGTTTCCCTCATGCTTTATTTCGCTCCGGTAAATGATAAAGTTGGAGTGATATGCAAAGTAGGATGCAGAATAATGTATATAATTTCCGAGGCGCTATGAGCAGAGGGGGTTCCATGGTGTAATGGTTAGCACTCTGGACTCTGAATCCAGCGATCCGAGTTCAAATCTCGGTGGAACCTTAGCGTTTTCATGTTTGTAGTACCATCCAAGCAGATCGTTTTGGAGTTTTTCCCGTTGAGTAGTTGCAGTCTCTATCACAGACTGCCAGATAGAACTCACAGAAAATAGTTTACACACACTGGGATCTGTGCTGAATTTAAATATATGACATGATATGACATAATGTAATGTATTTCGAGACATGGTTACAAAGGAGATCGGTTATAAACAGGTCACTTTTAAGGTTGCTCACAAATCTCGGCTATGAATATGGAATGGGTCTTGGGTTCTGTTGGCAAGAGCAAGGAAGAAGGTTGGTGGTGAAACACTGGCCAAGCTTTGGTTGTCGTAAAACTGAATAAAGTCGCCTTTATTTATATAAAAGGTTCTCCTACTGCAGAAGGGTGGCGCCGGAGGAAAACTCTGGCCCTGGCAGCGGTGGGATTCGAACCCACGCCTCCGAAGAGACTGGAGCCTAAATCCAGCGCCTTAGACCGCTCGGCCACGCTACCCGCGTGAAAGCCACGATTTCCCGTTCTCTTCCTAAGAGAGGAGAAGGAAGCCTGCACAAAGATCACACCACACGAACCGACCTGGACTCCGTTTGCTGTGCACTTCAAACCCGGAGCGAGGAGCCCCAGAGACCCTGAACGACGTAGTCTAACGAGGCGAAACAAATGAACCAGAAGACACCGAGATTTACGGCAAAACAAGTTTATTGAGTGGGATCAGATCTGGGCACCGAGCAAGCCTGAGCTTGGTAACGCTAGGAGCAGCCCGAGCTTTGCACCGCTGGCTGGCTCAGAGTCCGCGACGGCCCCTCCTGCTCCTGCGCCTGCGCCTGCGCCCACCCTGGCCCCCACCTAGCTCCCGCGTGTCCCACATCTCCTTCCGCTAGCCTGAGCTTCGCCTCCAGCTCCCGGGACGCCCCGCCCATTTCCGTGCACACACACTCCCGCGCTAGCTACCCGTCTTTTTTTTTTTTTTTTCTACGCTGGTGTCCGTAAGCTGGAAGAAGGCGCCGCCCGCCATGTGGCTCTGTGGCGCAATGGATAGCGCATTGGACTTCTAGTGACGGAATAAGCGATTCAAAGGTTGTGGGTTCGAATCCCACCAGAGTCGGTTTTATTGCTCTTTTCCGGGCTCTCATTTAAAAACAAACCCACTTTACTCTCAAGTCCGGTGTCAACCGCAAGTCGGTCGCTCGGCTCTTTACTTACCTGTCTGCCCCAGGGCTTGGGCCGTGGAGAGCAGGCCTAAGGGCGGGAGAAGGGCATGGGCAAGTGGGCGTGGCGCCGACATAGAGGCAGGCCCCTGGCCCGGGGACACACCGGGATTGAACAACCGTTTTATTCCATGCACTAGGGACTCGGGAAGGGACCGGGCCTGGGCTGGGGCGGAGAGGGTACAATCCTACGCACAGGGAAGTGGGGCGGGGAGGCAAGGGACAGGAAAATATATATTTATATAGATACTCTAATATAAACCACATCTCACCCGCGCGCTGAGCCCGCGCGCCCCGCTGCCCTCCTCGCCGGGACGCCCGCCCGGATCCCTCTCCTGCCCTCTTGGCTGGAGTCTCTACCCCACTCCCCAACCCCCGCCCCAGCCCCCCAAAAGCTCAGGGCCAAGGTCTCCAAAAGGCGGGCGGCGGGAGCGGCGGGGCCTTGGGCGCCCCGTCTGGTCTGTAAGGCGGCGGCGGCGGCGGCGGCGGCGGCGGCGGCAGCAGTCCGGTGAGGGGCGCCGGCGCGCCGGAATCCCCGGCGCGAGGGGAGCAGCGGGACGGGGACCAAGCGCAGCGGGGGCTGGGGGGGCCCTGGTGCGCGGGGGGGGCGCTGGTGCCGCGCGGGGCCGAGGATGGGCGAAGCGGGGTCCAGCGGTGGGCGCGGCGCTGGGAGCCCGGGCTCGACGGCCTCGGGCCGGGGCGGTTTGGGGCGCCGGTAGCCGTGCAGCGCGGAGAAGAGCTGGGAGCGGGCGGCCGGGCTGGCGTCGTGCGCGAAGGCCGCCAAGCGAAGCAGGCACTCGCGGAAACCCGACAGGTAGCAGCTGGCGAGCGCCTCGGCGTCCTGGCCTGGGGACCGGGGAGCCCCTGGTGCAGCCGGCGGGAGGACAGGCGGGCAGGGCGGGGGAGGGGGGGCGCCCAACGGGGGCGGGGTGGGGGGGGTGAGGGAAGGGGCGGGGCGCGGAGGTACCCAGGTCAGACGGGCGCACAGACGCAGACGGGAGACCAGATGGACGCGTAGAGAGGGGGGTGAGAGAGACACAGAGACAGACACGCGCAGGTGTCATTAACCTCGCCGCGGAGCCCCGCGGGCCGCTCCCCCAGCGCCACCCCCGCCCGGTCCAGCGCACAGCCCGCCCCTTCCCCAGCCCGAGCCTTCCGGACCCCCCCCCCCCACATCCCCACCACCGCACCCTCCCTCCGCTGCCCCACCCCCCGCGCTGTACCCGGGGGCTCCACCCGGCTGCGCTCCCTCAAGTAGCCCACGGCGAACTCGAGGATCTCCGCTTTCTCCAGCTTCGGGTTCCGGAGGTTCTACAGACGGAGGGAGGCGGGGGGACGGGGGGGGGGGCGCAGAGACAGAAAGGGGTGGGGAGAGAGGGGGAAAGTGGCTGGGGGAAGAAGGGAGGGGCGGGTACGGGAGCTGCGGGCGCCCCCAGGACTCGTGACCGAATGTGGAGGTGACCAAGAAACACCACCACCACCACCACCACCACCACCACCACCCCGTCCCACCCTGAGACCAGACTGTCCAACCTGAGGGAGTGGAACCGATTCCCAACACGTGAGGAGTGAGTGTGTAGGAAACAGCAACCCGGATGGTGAAAACCACCGCAGAACTGAAGCTGGTTTGTTCGGGGGGTGGGGTGGGGTGGGGTGGGGTGGGGGTCGGGGCAGGAGGTAGAGGAGGACATTGAGAAACCCCAAGGGGGGGGAAACTGAGGCACGGCTGGAAGCTCAGTGTACAGAGCCAGACAGGAAACTCACAGACCCGCAAGGTGGCGAAGATCGAATTCTGAGAGCGAGAGAGGAGGGTGTGGGGTGGGGTTTCAAAGGCCAGGCTGGGGTCAAGGATGCCTTGGGACCAGGGTCACCACTCCAGCTTACGTCCCCACCCCGGTGGAAAGCCCTGGGGCCGGCGGTGGAACTGACCTGGTCCCTGGTCCTCTCCAGCAGTAGCAGCCGCAGCTCTTCCAGGCTGCGGTTGATGCGGTCCCGGCGCCGCTTCTCCACCAGCGGCTTCAGCATCTGTGACCAGCGGGGAAGGGAGAGCGGGCCGACCGGACCGGGACTCAGCGCCGCCACGCGAGCGTCCGATCCTGCCGCTGGGAAAACCCATGCGTCCCTTTCCCCCCCCGAGTCCCTGGTCGCCTAGGGCTGCTCCGTGCATCCATCCCCTCTTCCTCCCTCCTTCCCAGCGCCCTAGGGTCGGGTTCAGAGGCTCGCCCCCACTTCTCCCCGCTCCCTGCCCGCTGCCCCTTCTGTGCTCCGCTTCCTCTTGTCTCCCGTCTGTGACTCTCCTCTCTCTACATCTCTATCTGGTGTGGTCTCCCTCTCTGTGAATCAGTGAAGAACTTTGGGGACACTCTTTGCCCCCCAACCCGCGCGGTGCGGCTCGGAGTTGGTAGCCCAGGGTGAAAGGGAGACACACAGCCCGGCCAACCACACCGCCCCTCCTCGCTCAAGCCCTTCCAGGCACTCGCCTACAAGTCGCCACTGGCTCTCCTAAAATCACCACCGGGGCTCGCACCTCTGGAACCAACGACTCAAAAGTCTTCTCTTTGAGTCAGACGTGGTTCACAGCTGCTGACGGACAGACAGCGTCCATAGCCTCTCCTCCTTTTGTTCCCGCCTCCCTCCCCCCCGGCTCTGTACCCTAGCTTATTTTTTGCGTCAGTAGCGCGCACTCCATGGCCTCGAACTCGCGGTAATCCACCTGCCTCAGCGTCCCGAGCGCTAGGGTGGGCCACGGTGCCCAAATTCTGGCACTCTCCGGCGCCCTCCAGGCCGCAAGCCGCAACCCACAGTAATTCAAACCCCTAGACCTTGGCTGCCGCCGCCCACGCGAGTCGGGCTCTGACCCTGTCCTCTTCATACTTTACAGGTTCTTTGGGTCGCACGAGCGCCTCTGTCCTTTTCAGTCCTGCGTCTCCATCCTCACCCCTAACCCACAGTGTGAGGACCTGGAAGCCCTCTGGCCGGAACAGGGGACTCCCTGCTCCCTCCCTTCCCACCTCTCACCTTGGGGCCGTCCCTATTCTCAGCTCGATCCCGAGTGACCATTGCGCGTCCGGACCCTGCGGTGGACACAGCGCGTGCTCCCTAGATCTTTATACCCCTCCTCGGCAGGGTAGGAGGGATGGGACCCGGACCCGCCCCCTCGGGCTCCTGGATGCCTGGGGCAAAGACCCTGGCACGAGGCTCCCGGAAAGGCGGGGACTGAGGGGGGAGGGGAAGGAGAGGAACTGGCCCCAAGTGTGGGAAGCGAGGGAAGGAAGGGGCCACAGGCTGGTTTAAGGACCCTAGGGCTGTATAAGAAGGCGGGACCCCACTGGAGGGAGGGGACGATTCGGGGGAGGGAGTTTAAGTGAATTGGGACACAACTCGCTTGGACATGGGATTTGGGGATCTCCTAGAGGAGTGGATTCCTTGGAGGCTCACTATGGCCTCGACCGCACTGAAATAAATGTTAGCACGCTGCAGCCTCCAGTCTGAATGCTGTGTCTCTTCCCCCAAGTGCCCCCCATCCCTTGGGCAGAAGGAGCAAGCCCTAAGGGTGCAGAGCAGGTCTGCCCGGTTCCGTTGGCTGGCTGTGGGGAGGCTCACCGCTGTACCTGTCCCTTCTTCTCAGTCCCCACAATAACTCCGCTGCTTATCCCTGCAGACCTAGGAGGATCTGCCCTCAGGCGGCTGTTACAGAAGCAAAGTGAGGGCCCCGAGAACAGATTTCCTTGAGGATGGCTGGACTAAGGGCGTGGGTGGGTGGGGGCAAAGGAAACTTCTTGGGGGGGGGGTGGAGGATGGAGTCCTTGAAGTACAAGTAGGAGTGAAGAAAGCTTTCCATTTACAAGCGTTTGATTTAAAACTAAATTCAGGATTATGGCTGACGGGAAACCCTCACACAAACGCACCGGAGTTACTTTCCTCTGGAGGCGATGAGTGACGGTAACGGAGCAGGAAAATGGGAGATTTGCTGAAGGGACAAGAAAGGATTGGTTACAAAGGGGGATCTTCACCCACCTCAAACCAACAGCATGACCCTCTACGGAAGGACGTGTCAACACTTGGAGACTTCAGGACGAAGTGCCTGAGAAGGTAAAACCGAAATTTAACGAGACAAGAAGACACGGGGGAAGGACAGAGTAAAGACAGGACTACAAACCGGGCCAGAGGTAGCTGCGGAGTCAAAGTGCAGCCTCCTCCTTCCAGAGGCCCTCCACACCCTGAGCGGTTTTTCTGGCCGAAGCTGCCTTGCCAAACGCAGAGCGGGAGGGGCCCAGACTTGAGAAGGGGCTCCCATTTGGGATTAGGGCCCCCCGTACATCCCACCTTCCCCTGCTTCAGCCAAATGGGAGCACAGATGTGTGGCCACAGCAGGCCCCGCCGCCCCCCTCCTTGGGAACCAGAATTGGGGCAGAGTTTTTCTCACCTGCACGTGAGGCTCGAGGGCCGGGGCAGTTGGCACCCGGGTGTGGGGCCGCCCCTGGCCATATGGAATGACTTTATGGCCCGGTGGCCGGATCCAAGGGGGAGAAAGAATGGCCTGGTGCTCCACCCACCTCAACCGTGCTTTACAAACCCTTTCCACGCTTAGAAGCTTGAGCAAGGCTAGCTCCGCCTTTGACAAGTTCAGATACATTCATTTGGAGTGTTTCTCTCGCCTGCATTGGTGGTTCAGTGGTAGAATTCTCGCCTGCCACGCGGGAGGCCCGGGTTCGATTCCCGGCCAATGCACGACTCACATTTTTTTTTTCTTTCCCTCGAACTAAGAAGATAAGATTGATGAAAAGCATCCTTTTTAGCTTAAACATTTCAACCCTTCGACCAACAGTGAAATGTAGCGTTTTGGTTTTGTAGTCGCCTTGGAAGCTCCAGAACTAGTCCCTGACTCCGCAGATCTGTCCCCCCCGACCCCACCCTACCCAGCCGGGGAGGTTCTGCTGCCTGGACACACCCACCCACGTCCGCACCTCCCGAGGCGCAACCGTGAGAAAGGACACGGAGCTGGGATCCCTGCCCAGGGGTCCTCTCCGCGGGGGAGGGCCAGGTCTTCCCGGTCTTTCTTTTCTCCTCTTCCTCTCGCTCCCTCTCATTTTCTGTTCTGAAGCGCCTTTCTGCTCTCTGCTGCGCCTTTTCCCCAGGTCCAAGGACCTGGGCATGTCAGCCTTCGGGTCTTTCGGGTCTCTGAGTGCTTCTCAGCGACTCCAGCTCTCTGATTTTTTTTCCCCCCCAGGTCTCTAGGCGACTTCTGCTAGGGTTCTCCTGGTCTAGAGTGGTCTCTTCTGAGTCTCGCGTCCCTCTGCTGCTCCCTCTCGGCGCCTCTCCCGGCTGTCCTGTCTTCTTTCCTGGTCCCTGTCGCCTCCGGGAACCCTGCGCTCCCACGCTCGCACCCCCGGTTCCCTGCGGTTCCCTGGCCCGCCCCTGGCCCGCAGCTTTGATCCCGCACGCGCCGCGCCCGGGGAGGGCGGGACCCGGCACGGCCACCTGCCGGGGCCACTTGTGAGCGACCCGGGGGCCCTGACGCCCCGCGCCGGCTTTCCGCTCCCCTCCGGAGAGCTCCGCCGCCCTCCGCGCCCCTCCTCCCGGCCTTCTCAGGTTCTCACAGTCTGAATTCCGGTTTAAGCCTTCCTCTCTCTCCCCTCTCTGTCTCTTTCAGCCTGGTGGGTCTCATCTTGGATTTGTGTCAGTGACAACGCTCCCTTCTCAGTTCCAAGCAGGGGCCATGGCCCTAGGAGAAAAGTAAACCATCTTGGCATCTCTGCCAGCCCAACTGGTGCATTTGCCCGCTCAGTCCTAGATCTGTGTGTGCTTGCTATGTGGCCACTATTATTAGGCATTGGGGTTACATTGGCCCTGAGCTCTCCTGAAATGCGCATTATTGGCGGTGTGGGGACAGGAAATGACCAAGAAGGCAGAAAAGAGAATAGGATAACTTCACGTGGTTGTAAGGATAATTGTAATGGCGTGACAGTGAAGGGCTGGTTTAGTCAAAGTGGTCAGAGGCAACCTCACGGTGGTGATAATATCTCAGCATGGTCACCCATGAGTCCAAGCAAAATGAATAAGTCCAAGTCCTCCTGTTGAAAAGAGATTTTTTTGGTGAGAGCTAAAGAAAGAACTTAGAATGAGAGCTACATGAGCAAACCAGGGGTGAGGGGGTTAATGGAGGGCAAGGGTGGGGGAAAGCGAACTTAGGGGAGCAGGAGGTCCCAGCTGGATCAGGAACAGAGTGGGAGAACAAGGAAAGAGATACCATGATAAATGAAGACACCATGGGAATATGAAGAAGCAGAGTGCTAGAGAGGTCCCCAGAAATCCACAAAGATACCTCCGCTGTAGACTACTGGCAATGGTCGAGAGAGTGCCTGAGCTGACCTGCTCTGGTGATCGGGTGGCTGAACACCCTAACTGTCATGATAGAACTCTCATCCAGTGTCTGATGGAAGCGGATGCAGAGATCCACAGCCAAGCCCCAGGTGGAGCTCCAGGAGTCCAACCAGCGAGAGAGAGGAGGGATTGTATGAGCGAGAGATATTGAGACCATGATTGGAAAAAGCACAGGGACAAATAGCCAAACTAGTGGAAACGCATGAACTGTGAACCAATGGCTGAGGAGCCCCCATGGAACTGGATCAGGCCCTCTGGATAAGTGGGACAGTCCATTAGCTTGAACTATTTAGGAGGCCCCCAGGCAGTGGGACCAGGATCTGTCCTTGTTGCGTGAGCTGGCTTTTTGGAACCTAGGGCCTATACTGAGACACTTTGCTCAGCCTTGGTGCAGGGAGGAGGGGACTGGACCTGCCTCAACTGAATCTACCAGCCTGGGCTGAATCCCCAGGGGAGACCTTGCCTTGGAGGAGGTGGGAATGGGGGTTGGATTGGGGTTAAGGCTGAGGGGTGGGAGGAGGGAGGACAGGGGAATCCGTGGCTGATATGTAAAACTAAATTAATTATAAAATAAAAATATTTATTAAAAAAGAAATTAGAAAAAAGAAAGAAAGAACCTAGAACAGAGAATTGAGGGGCTGAGAATATAAGATAAGTCAGGCACAGCCCATCTCACAGGATTTTTGGAAGCCTTAGAAGATCTTGAGGATTAGTCTAAGTGCAATGGAGAATTCAAGGCCAGCTCTGGCAACAAGACCACTTTTGAGTTGACATCCTAGCTTGAGAAAATGTTCTTTTAACAAAGTGTAGCAATCAGAGAACACCTATGCCATACCCTCCATCTCCCCACCTCTCAATAGGAAAGGGGTCTTCCCTGCTACTGAGGCTCCTTCCCCACCCCCACTGGCGTCAACCCACCCATCTCCAATCCCACCCCAGATCACTGTTATTCCCATTGGCATCAGAAGTACTATAGGCCATTTGATGAGAAACGTGTGAAACGCTCATTTTGAAAAGTAGAAAAATAAACCTATGGGTTTAAGAAAATAAGCTTTCTCAGTGGCCGAGAGCCTGTTTGAGAACTTCAAGTGCATAAGCTGATTCACCATGATGCTAATGAAATTGAGGAGCCCCCAAACAGAATCTGGGGAAGGCTCCAGCAAGGTGTTCATAGGGCAATAGCATTCTGTAAATTGCACATACACACAAAGAAAAAGAAATACACAAACTAGGAAGGCAGTCTGTAGAGAATGTTGTGAGGGTTTGACAGGCGTCAGGGTGCCTTTCTGTCATTTGGCAGTGTTTTGCTTATTAAGTATTAGTTATGGTTATAATCATCATTGTAACTATTTTTGAGACAGGGTCTTGCTTTTCCTTACCATGTTTTACTTCACTAACAGTTTGTCAGATTTTTTCCCCCTCATATTAAGGATTGAACCCAGTTTCACCCTCTATTTGTCAGCTTTTTAAATATGTAAATTGTTGCATTCTTACCTTGTTCTAAATATTACTTATTATGCCTGATTTTTTTTTCCTTTCGAAAATTATATACACTGGGTGGTGGCGCATGCCTTTAATCCCAGCACTCTGGAGGCAGAGTCAGGCAGATCTCTGAGAGTTGGAGGCCAGCCTGGTCTAGAGTGTGAGTTCTGGGACAGCCAGGGCTACAAAGAGAAACCCTGTCTCAAAAAAAATGAAAAAAAAAAAAAAAGTATGTTCTTTTTCAGGCCCTTAAAACCTAAGGTTACCCTCCTGTGAGAGACAAATGAACTGAGTAATTTGACTCCAACTCCTTGCTCTGGTGCAGATGTGGCCTGTGAAGATGTCCCTAGCGTACCTTTGTTTGAGGGTGTGAGTCAGGGGTCCCTATGATGATCACAAGCCTCTGTTTCAGAGAAAGCCTTTGTCCCTGCATGCCCTGGTTGTGTCCTAACAATACATGTACAGGCATCTACGTCACGCTGCACCCTCCCTGTGGTGAGCCACACTAAAGTTCAGGGGAGGGCAGTGCACGGACACCTTAGGCCTCTAGGGATGCTGGCCATGGAAGAAAGACTGGTACAGCTGATGCTGTGCCTAACTTCCGGTCTCCCAGTGTGACACCTCCCCAGGCCTGCGATTCCAGCCTCTTGTCCTTCCCCTTTCTTTCTTCAAAGGGAAAGCGGACTTTTTAGGATGCCCTGGGTCCGGAATAGGGGAGTTCCTAGAAGGCTGTTTCCCTAGGGCTTGAGGGTTGGAAACGGGAAAACAGCTTCCAAGCAGAAGCAGGAACACAGAGGAGAGTTCTAGGCTCCTGAAGCCTTCCTGGTCTCTTGTTCTGTGATTCACAACTAAACAGGAGAATCACAGACTCAGATAAAGTAGAAAAGAGCACTTTTAAATTTCTTTCTTTTCCTTTTTGTTGTTTGTTTCAAGGAAGAGTCTCAACAGGAAAGAACATCATAAACTTTAAAGACCACGGCTGCAAAAGGTGACCCCTGCCTGCCTGCCATTTCTTCAGTCCTCAGCATATTTATCCTTCCTGCTCTCCTCCAGGCCCGACACAAACAGCTCCAAACAAAATAGGCAATAAGCTCTGCCCGTACTGGCTTCTGCTCTTGTCGGGGAAACAGTCCGTGTGGGTTACCCAAAATATTATTTGGCAGGCAGTAAGTACACTGGAGAAAAAGAAAAAAAAAAAAAAAACAGAGAAAGGGCGTAGAGGGTCAGAACTGTAATTCTGCCAAGTCTCACCCTGGAAGAATGGGGTGCAGGATGGAGCAGTGCCTGTACTCCTAGCATTTGAGAGGCAGGCGAATCAGAAATTCAAGGTCTTCCCCAACTACATAAAGGGTTTGAGGCCAGCCTGGGCTACGTGAGACCATACCTCCAAAAGAAAGAGGGAGAAAAAAGGTTTTGTTCTGTAGTCCCATCTATTTATGTTGGCTAGAAACTTTTGACTCTTATTTTTATCCAATGAAATATTGAACTATATACTCCATTACAATCATTTATTCAGAGTTGATTGTGGTACACACACCTTCATCCCAGCACTCAGGAGGCAGAGGCAGGCAGATCTCTGTGACTTTCGGGCCAGCCTAGTCTACAAAGGGAATTCCAGGACAGCCAGAACTACGATAGAAAGATTCTATCAATCTGATATGGTGGCCCACATCGTTAATCCCAGCACTCAGGAAGCAGAGGTAGATGGATTTCTGTGACTTCAAGGCCAGCCTAATCTACATAGTAAGTTCCAGGACAGCAAGACCCAAGACTCAAAAAGAACAAACAAAATATTTAGTGATAATTAATTTTATTCATTTATTTATTTGAGTCAAGGTCTCATGTAGGCTCTAATGACTTTGAACTTGTGGTCCTCTTGCCTCTACCCCTCAAGTAGTGGGATTTAAAAACATGCACCTTCACCCAGTTTTATGAGGTGCTGGGGATGGAAACCCATTTCACATGTACTTCATCCCCAGCCCTGAAACCATGAGATCAACCTCAGTTGGCCTAGACTTAGCCAACGGTAACTCAGCTGAGTACAATGTCTCACTTGCTCTGTCTTCTTCCTAACTATTAGGCTGGCTTTTCTTTGAATGCTTTCTTCTTTTCTGGCCTAACAAAGTGTTCCAAAGCTATCTGATAGTTCCTCAACCCCAGCCGCGAATAATCCTTTTACTCAAGAAGAGCCTTGGTTCCTGTTAGCAGAAAATGGCATCTATTGGCTGAGATGTAGGTTTTTGTTCGTTTGTTTTATGTGCTGGTACCTACTAGCATGTCTTTGCTTCTAGGCTCACCCAAGGGAAAGGATACTTGGGAGGTAAGGAGTGAGACAGGAAGTCACCGAGGAAACTGCAGCTTCATCTTGATAACCTGCCTCTGCTGATAGTCAGATGCCCCTCTGTGGTTAGACATCCCTGAAGTTGTAGTTAGGTTCCTACTACATCAGAAACGGAGGCAGCAGAGCCTTCCGACGCACAGATGCACTTAAGAAGGGTCTGCATCCTCAAAAGGCTGACGTCCTTAGAATAGCTTAGGCCTTGTGGATTTGACACACACCTTTTTGTGAGGTTCATGGGAGAATGGGTTCATCATTATTTGAAGGGAAAAGGGGTGACCTTCCCCTATGAATATGCCACTCACCTCATAAATATTCATTCGTTTTCTTTAAAATCCACAACACAGAACCCACGGGGCTGCTCTCTGCCTCAGGGTAGCCACTCCCATTTTTCTTTGGAGTGTTCACTTTGCTAAATAAACTTTGCTCAAGATGTCTGTATCTCTTGACTGTTTCTTTCCGTCAAGAAGAGCAAAGCTGAAACATCCCCATAAGAGAAAGAGCTAGAAAATTGTCTATGTGATAATTCATTTCTGTTTCTACACACAGTAAAACCATGAGTTTATATTGACACTACCCATTGGAAGACTCTGAAAGGATGGAAGAATGATGGAATCTGATTCATGATTTATTTTTTGTTTGTTTGTTTGTTTGTTTTGTTTTCTGGATCTGGGCATCGGACCCTGGGTCTGTTTTCACACAAAGTGCTACTCTACTGAGCTATAGGCTGCATGGTGTTGGTTAGCTGGTTAGTACTTTGTTGCATTTTGAAACAGACTCTCACTATGTAGCCGGAGCCTGTCTCAAACTGGAAAGCCCCTTGCCTCCACCTCCTGAGAGGGGAAGATTACAGATGTGTGCCACCCTCCAGTCCTTCCCCTTTGATTTATATGTTAGAAGTATCACCTTTGCTGGGGAGGGGAAGTAATGGGGAGAGATAGTAGCTCATGCCTGTAATCCCAACACTTTGGAGGCTGAGTTAGAAGGACCATTGTGACTTTCAAGCCCAACCTGGGCTACATAGTAAGTATAGTGAATTTGAGGCTATCCTGAGCTACCTTGTTTCAACCCTCCCTCCCCCCACACCCCCACCTCCCACCAAAAGAGTACACTGGAAGAGAACTGTAGTCACAAGAACGGCAGGCAGTTAGTGGAAAGGGGCACACCTTAGTCAGAGAGTGCCTCCCCGGCATGCAAGAAGTCCTGGGTTTAATCCCTGGCGTCCCAAGAGACTGGACCCCAGGAGGTAATTTAGGAAACACTGCAATAATCCAGGTGACAGGTGAGAGACAAGCCTGGATTAGGATGAAATAGTCAATGGCACTTAGCTAAGCCTTGCACATTAGAAAAAGAAATTGCAGGCTGATCAATATGGAATGTTGGGGGGTGGGGAAGACCCAAGGGTGATCCTAAAGGTTTTAAGTGTAATAATCTAGAGAAATGGAATTTTCATCGACCAAAATGAGAAGACTACAGATGAAGCAGCTTGGAGGGAAAAAAGTATATCCCTACTCCATAGCCAAGTGGAGATGGGGGAAGAGGCCAGTTGTACATAAGTATCTGGGGGAACAGTCCCTGATCTGAAGATGAAAATGTGAAGCAACATGACATATTCCCTGGCTTTTAAAGGCACTAGAATAGAGATGCCTCAGCAGAAATCACAGGTAGAGAAGAGAGGTGTTTGGAAGATGGAGCCTTGTGACGCCTCTGACACTGAAGATCCAGAAGGGAAGTCTGAACGAGGCAGAAGGGCCGTCAGAAGGCTGCTGGAGGCGGGCAAGCTAGCCAAGAGGCTGGCTCTCTCTAAAGGCCAGCATCAGACTACTGCTCATTAAGCAATGTGATGGTTATTTGTAACCTTAGCAAAGGCAGCTATGATGGTGAGGAGGGTATGTACACGGTTGGAGGGGCTTCAAAGGAGTGTAAGAAGGTGCAGACAGTGAGATCACTTATTGCCGCACAGAGGAGCAAGGAATGGCATGGTAACTGAAGAGCACGGGGTCCAGACAGTGTCGTACTGTTTTTTTGGCCTTTTCTCCAGTTGGCTCACAACAGCGCTATAGTCTGAGTAACCAGGAAAGAATAGAGGCCTGTTTAGCTCCGCAGTCTGGAAGCTAGGAAGCCCGAGAGCATGGTGCCAGAATATTTAGTGAGAGTTTTCTTGTTGCATCAGAATTTGGTGGAGGGGATCATATGGTGGGACAGAATAAGCAAGCTTGTTGGAGTCGCTTCTTAGAAAGCTGTTATCATTGTGGGGGCTCTCTACTCATATGACATCCTTCAGTTAGAATAATGTCCGTAAGGCCCGACCTCCCATCAAATTACACATCTGGGCATTAAGTCGCCAACACAAGACTTTTCAAGGACACACAGCAGCTATTTTTGCTGTTCTGAATGAAATCACCTCGTCTGAAAGCTGATGGGAGCAATAAGAAAGGGAAATTTTGACGGCATGGAAAACAGCACCGTGGGTCTGAGGGATGAAAAATCTAGATGTGGAGGTTGGGCACAGCTCTGTGTAAGCACTCTCCTGCAGTAATCAGGGAAAGGAGAGGGTGGTGGTAAGGGCGCGCAGTTGTGGATGGCCATGGGAAACTATCTTCCCAGCGAAACAGAAAGCAGAGCCTCAGCCCTACGCAAAGAACTACAGACAACTAAGGAAACTGGGGGTGGGAGAGGTGGCCCACCCCGGGAAAGAGCACACCAACTGGTGGTCCAGTGCCAAACCGTCAGCCCTGAAAACACATACAGGGAGCACTATACAAACGCAACAGGTTATATTTGAGAATATATATATATATGTATATACATACACTTACATGCATGCAATAACAATTAGAAAATAAGGTCATGAATCTGAAGGAGAGCAGGGAGGAATAGATGAGAGGTTTTGAAGGGAGGAAGAGGAAGTGAGAAATGTAATCAAATTACAGTCTCAAAAATAAAAAATAGAGTTGAAGGCAAAGTGAATGGGTAATTCGTGGTTCCGGGTGACACAGTCGGAAAGTAGAGGCAAAGGCTGAGTAGATTTGGAGTGGAGGTGGCAATCCGTGGTTTGATGGAGTTTGCAATTGAAATTGAGTCCATGGTGGTTGGTCGTTTGCTTCGCGCGGGGGCGCGAGCGAGCGGATCCCGGCAAAGGAAGAAAGAACTGGAAAACGACCTACTCTCCAACAACCGAGGCAGCAAGACTTAATACCAAAATTATTGACGCTGTGAGCAGGATTCGAACCTGCGCGGGGAGACCCCATTGGATTTCGAGTCCAACGCCTTAACCACTCGGCCATCACAGCCGCGTGCGGCCTCGGGCCTGCGGAGCTATAGCTGCCTATCAAGGCACTCGGCCCCAGCCGATTTCGCCGTTTTTTTTGTTTTTTTTTGTTTTTTTCAAAGCAGCTGTGCGCGTGCGCTGCGGCTGGACCGGCAGGTGCAAGCCTTCTCTTGAGCGGCAAAGTCCTCCCAGGACTCTCTTCTCGCGGAGCCACAGGGAAACCCCAATAAAACCAGTTCCCACCCTATTCCAGTCCTTCTAAGCGTTGAGGAGCCGAGTCTTGAGGATTAGCGGCTTCTGTGTCTCCAAACACAAGTGCTTAGGAAAGTTGGCTTAAGAACTAACTAGGTAAGAGGAAGAGATTTCTTCCGGACAGAGGTCAATAATTTGGCAATAATATACCACTTCCAATGCAAACCAGGCACCGCTGGGATTCGAACCCAGGATCTCCTGTTTACTAGACAGGCGCTTTAACCAGCTAAGCCACGGCGCCAACGAGCACACTGGTTCCTTCAAAGTAGATCAGCTGTTACCGACGGAAAGGAAGCGTGGGATCTGTAATTTGACCAACGATCTGGACTGGACCTCGGATGATTGATTCAACCCACCCAGGTTCCCCTCCCCTTTCAAGTCTGAGCTAAAGGACTGGTGTCTTAGCGAACTAAAGTGACCAGCTGAAGAGCTATTTCTGATGGGGTGTTGACGTGAAGCTGAGGAATTCAGCTGAACTACCCCACCGGCGCTTCCCAGCGCTCCCACTTGGCTTCTGCCACAGTACCTATGACTGGAGCTCGCCAAGACCTTAACCACATGTTGCCTCTCTGCTTCTCCGGACGACCAAGCTAAGGTATTGGTAGAGAATGTAGTTCTATTAGGTGAAGAGTTTGCCAGACTTAGCAAAGTCCTTTGCTGCCAGGAATGTGGAGGGAAAAGGAACAGCTTCATCAACCCACCTACAATCTTGCTGGTGGCAGGGCCACACCTCCCCTCACCCAAACTCCCAACTTCATTTCACAAAGTCTTGGGTTTTTGGTTTTTCGTTTTGTATTAAAAAAAAATAACAGACACAATATCAAAAACACAAATGCCATTGGTAGAGGGTAGAGCTGAGAACACCTGGGTCCCACCTGAGGGGCAGCACCAGGGACTCCATGGTCCACCAACCTCCCCCACCCTGGAGCAGCTAGGGGTTCAAAACCCCTGGGTCCCACATGGACCCCAGGCTCCCCCCTCCCATCTTGGGATGAGGTAAGAGAGTGAGCTGTCTCCCCCAATAAATAAGTGCAGCCCCAACCCTCCGACTGGGACTCAGGCTCAGCTGAGATTTGGAGAGACCACTTCAGCAGCTTGTCAGCCATCTTAACTGGATGAGGAAAAGTCTCCTCAGCAGGGTGGGAACGGACAATCCTCCAAATTGGGCTGAGACTTCCACTCTCTGCTAAGAGACTTAGAGGCGGCTCCTGCCTGGGTCCTGGGCTGGTAGTGGGGGTCCTGCCCCCTATGTTGGGAGAAGCTGGGGCAGTTTCCTATCGGTTGGTCCAGCCATATCTTGAGTTCTAAGAACCCTAACATGGTTGAAAAGGGAGCCTCTCATAGACTGCTGCAGGTGGCCCCCCAAATGGAGCCTAGCTGGTACCATTCTCTTCTGCAGGTAAAGCCGGACTGGATGAGCTTCCACCTTGTTCTTCTTCCTCCATGGCAGAGTCCTGAGAGCTTGGGCCCTTAGCCCCAATTTGGGTCTGGGCCTCCTCACCACCACCGTCACACTCCTCACCACCACCACCACCACCACCACCACCACCACCATCCTCGCCTCCACCCTCTTCCATAGGCTCCAGCCCCAGTCCATCCAGTTCTGAGAAGAGAGGGTCATCAGAACGGCCAGGATCTTGAATGCTGCTACCGCAGTCCACACAAGCCTTGGAGGGAAAAGCAGGATATGAGTTAGGCAGGATCCTCGCTGGGAATCTGCAAGCTCAGCATCCCAACCTTAACCTAACTATGAGTCCCAAAATACCTCCCAGGAAACCAGTCCACACATGTGGCTATAGTCTAACAAGGTTGGAAAATCCTCTACTGAGGGGGCTGGAGAGCCCAGCTTCAGATACCAGTACCCACATGGTGGCTCAACCATCCTTAACTCCAGTTCTACATCACCCTCTTCTGACCTCCACAGACACCAGGCACACATGTGGTGTATAGACATATATGCAGACAAAAACACTCATATACATAAATCCTTAAAAAATTTAAGAAAGTGCTCTACTGAGACCCCACTACTATGGGGTGGTATGACGGGCCAGAGAAGTTCTGTAAAAACTCGTGAGGTAATGTGGTTTAACATTACATCATCCAGCAGCAAGTTTATGGGATTAGCATCCTTCAGGATTAATGATCCAAAGACACTGAGATCAGACTTTATTTCTCTATCCCTTGAACTTGAGCTCAGAATCTTCCACCCGAGTCTCTTCCTGGCTTCCCAGACTTTTCTTACCATCACATCGAGGGCCCGAGGCAGCTGGCCCTTCCGGACCCAGGAGTGCACAGCACCCAGTTCCCGCCGCTGGTCCTCTGAGAACCGTGGCTGTTGCTTCTGCATGGCCCGGAGCCTCTCCCGGTCTTGCTTCAGTACAGAGGCTGTGTCCCTGTGTGAGGATGGGAAAGGCTGGGATCCAGGGCCAAGACCCATGGGGCTGGCATTCATCTTCAACCACAATTCCTTAGCCCACTGTCTTCTGTGCCTTCCTCGAAGGCAAGTAAGATTTCAACACCAGGAAACTACTCTCAACTTGAGAACTACTGATAGGACCCCAAGGGGCTTATGCCACAACGGGCACCTCCCGGTCAGATCCACCCCAGATGGGCAGTGCAGGCAGGCTAGTCTCTGCACCGCTCTGAAAGGGAAGAAGATAAGGCCTCTGAAACTCACCTGGAGGGTACCTGGTAAGTCATCATGACATGCTGGTCAGCATTGGCCATGAGCAGCCAGATGGGATCCTGGAGCACATACTTAATGACCTGGTCCCCAGGCTCAGTCCTGGCCTGAGCAGCGCCAGCCTCAGCCTCTGAAGAGTCAATGCTACCAAAGTACTTGCTCGTGTGGCTGCTTTGACTGCTACCTGTGGAGGAGTGGAGAAGACCAATGGAGCCAGGCTGGCTAACACATCTACCCTGAGAGGCTTCACCAGGCCACCCTCTAAGGCCACGTGTCCAGCCCACTGGCCTTAACCAGTTAGGCCAAACTGGGGCTTAGCTTCCCACCTCCCCATCTGTCCTACTCTGGGAAGTACTGGAGGGTGAGCACTCACGAGTAATGCTGGCTGAGGTGCTGCCTCCTTCGTGGGATCCTGAACCAGACCCAGAGCCCAAGCCAGAGCCCACGGAGCCTGAGGCTGCAGAGCCTGTGCCAGAGCGAGAATCTTCTTGTAGCAATAGCTCCAGCAGGTCACTGGAGCCTGAAAGAGCATCCTGATTGGAGGACTCAGTTACCTCCACCTAGAGGAGGGGGGAAGTGGAGGGGGACAGGAAGGCAGTGAGGAACCACCACGGTGGCTTCTCTTCAACGGCTTCTCCTGTTGAGGGGAACCAAAGGAGGCACACCCAACCCAGCAGATCTTTGGTCCTTGCTCCATGTCACAGGGCCAAGCTGAGAGGACAGTTTATGAGTGGGGACATAACACTGGACCCTCTCTATGTGGCAGACACACGCTCAAAATGTACACTGATGGACACTGGGATGTCCTGACACCTGTCAGGCAGAACTGTCCCTTCACAGAGGATTTCTGCGCCATTCAGAAATTCCGCTTGGACCTCCCACTCAACTCCCGGAAGCTGAGAACCGGCCCAGGAAGCATCATCCAGGCAGGAGAGGGGCAAGGGCTGAGGGAGGGCACTGGGGGAGGGGAGAGAGAGTTGTTGCTCACCAGTCTGGCCTCTGGCTCAGCAGCCTCCTCACTGGGAGGCAGGGGCCCAGCACTGCTTCCAGGGCCCCCCGCAGCAGCACCCCCCTCAGTGCGGGGGGATTCCTCGAGCTGCAGCAGATTGAGCTGGAGTGGGGAACTGCATCTCGAGTTGAACAGTGGGGAGTCTGGGCGGTGTGGGGGGCTGGGGGCCAGTGGGGGCAGGGATGGGGAAGGTGAGTGCGAAGCAGGGGTAGGTGGCCCCTCAGCAGGGGCCTGGGATACCCCATATGGATAGCTAGGAGGAGAAGGGAAGAGATAGTTAGGGAGCACCAAGGCCACCATTGGGGTCACCAAGGGAGAAGGGAAAGCAGCAGGGGGCACAGATGTGGGGGCAGGGGGAAGAGGCTGGGGACCTCCTCGAGGGGAGAACACTGGGAGTGGGTAGGGCTGGACCACTGCGGGGAAGGGGGTAGTGGCTGGCGGGGGTGGCCAGGGTCCAGAAGAGGGCACAGGTGACGGATGGGAGGCATAGCAAGGAGTTTCAGGCTGGGGGGTCTGGTGGTGGCGAGAACGTTTTGCTTTAGATCTGCAGTGGTGTCGGCGACCAGGGGGCATGGGGCCATGGTGGCAGCCTGTGGGGAAAGACCAGGGTTAGCAAGGAGCCTGCCACCTCCACTGCCCTAACACACGGAGAAGAGGACAGGCAAAGGACCAAGAAGCTGCTCAGCTTGCACGCAAAAAAATAACAGAAGATAGAAAGTAGGGGAAGTTTCAGGGAAGAATCACAGGAGCCAGGGGACAGGGGTTTATTGTGAAAGGAGCCAGGGAAGGGCAAGGTTACATGAGGTCAAGCTGGGGGTGCGCAAAACAGAGGCACACTGGCAGAGAAGAGGAGGCTGAGTGGGTCCATGGATGAACAGGCAGGTGACTTCAGTCCATCTGCCCAAATCCCTCAGGCTGTGCCAGCCTGGGTCCTGGTCCCGCCAGTTGAAGCTGTGCTCTGCCTAACTCCCAATGGGATGATGTGGTGGGCAGAAGAGGCCAGGCCTCAGTCCTAGGTCCTGCAGCTGTCTGCAAAGGTCTCCTGCAGGTACCTAGAGGGGCTACTTTCCATCTGCCCTACAAGTCCAACCCCATCCAAGACTGGCCCAGAGCCTGCGGATCGCCATCAGTGATGCTGCATCCCACGTGATGCTGCGTCCCACGCGGGTGCCATCTTTGCCCTTGTTCCCAAACTAGGACTCGAGGAGCTTACCTGGAACCGAGCACTTCCACCCGCTTGTCTCAGTGCCAGCCCCCCAAGCCTCCCTCCTCAGCCTGCAGCCTGGAACCCTGGGAGAAGCTATCTAGGGTCTAACTAAACGGGGTTCCGACAGTGAAGACAGCATCAGGCTGGGTCCCAGAGCAGGAACGTCTCCCTCGCCACCACATTACCACCCTCAGCATCTGGCCCTAGGCTGGCTGTGTAAAAGGCAGCTCAAGGAAGCCCCGGGTGGCTACCTCGCTCGCCAGGGGCTGAGGGGGCCCCAGAAGAGTTGTCAAGTCCACGCAGCCTGCCAAGGTCTCGGAAGCGGCTGAGGAAGGCTTGCTCTTCCTTTTGTGTGTGCAGGGACAGCACAGCCTTGGTCAGACCCACTGGACGATAAGCATCTGGGGCTGGGTCAGGGGCTACTGTGGGGCTTGGGGCCGGACTAGGGGTTGGGCCAGGGGCTAGGCCAGGCACGTCCTCCATCATGATGATGTCTAAGGAAGGTGAGAGGGAAAAAGGTGATGAGAAACACCTCAGAGGTCAACACAACCACACCTACAGCCTCCCCACCCAAGGCCTAAGACCCCAGGTACTCAAGACCACCTCCCTGTCAAGAGCTAGACATGGACTCCTCTTCCTATGGTAAACTGTCCCAGGAGAAAAGAGGAATCCCTGGGGTGACATCTCCTAAGGGAAGCCCACTTCTTGCTTTTAGCACGTTTAAGATCTACCCAAAGACCCTGAAGAGTCTTCATATTCCTTGCTTTAGACCCTCCGTGGTCAGCATCTCAGTGTGGGCCCCCCTCCCCTTACACCCCACTTTTACGGTTCAACTGACAGTAGGAACACAGGAAGGGGTGGGGGAGGGGCAAGCAGCAGAGGTGAGTAGGGTGGACAGTCAGGAGCAGTAGAGCCCCAAGCTAAGAAGGTGGCCTCCTTCTCTCCGCTAGGGGAAGGGGGAGAAAGGTAGGCAGGAAAGAGCTCTGTCTGGGGGACCAAGTGGGGCCCAATCACTACCCCCCTCACTCCACGCCCATACCCGACTCCGGGGGCTTCTTGTCTCCCACATGGACGATGGTGGAGCTGAAGCTACACTGACTGGTGACAGACACCACGCTCTCTGCCTTATTGGCCAGGGCGAGCGGGCTCAGGGTGCCTCCCACCACTGGCTCCTTCCGAGGAGTGGCCCCCTCCCCAGACAGCACTGCTGACGTCGGATCTGTGCGGAGAGATGGCACTGGTTACCACCCCTACCCCTTGGAAGGTCAGGAGAGGGGATCCCAGGGAGGAGTGGGGAAGGATTGGCTCGGGGGAGGGACCTGGAGATAAGGAGGCAGGAAAGGAGGGCCGGGAATAGCAGGTAGGAGCCCCCAAGGCAGAAGTGTATAGGCCGGGGACTGCCAGGGTGGGATGGGCAATGGGAACCAGGCATGCGCTGTGTCTTTACCTTTCTTGGGCCCGACAGGAACTGGGCCTGCCCGCTGCTTGTCGTCATCAGAGGCTGAGGAAGCAGTGCAGGAAGAGGAGGAGGCACATTTACGCTTTGTTGTGCTGGGAATGTTGCAGCTCTCCAAATACCTGGGGATGGATGAAGCAAAGGGTTTAGGGGCGGGGCCTAGGGCAGGCAAGGTGGGCGCAGGGGAGAAGGGGATGGGCAGGCCTCACCTGAGGATGCTGTCCAGGCAGTTGATCTGTTGGTAGGAACAGCCGGAGGCTTCTTTCCTCTCTGGCTCCTCAGCGGCCAATGCTAGTGGGGCTTGGTCAGAAGCAGGGGCCACCTCCAGTTCAGGGTTTGGGGACTGGCAGGGAATGACTTTGGCCTTGAAGGTCCCTGTAGCTGGGACAAGGAAAAGAAAAGGTAAATGGGTTAGGAGTGGGGGTAAGGGGAACCTCAGGCCTTCCTCCTCATCGCAGCTCACCAAGGATGCGGGGCCGAGGTGGAGGCTTGGCCCGGGACTCAATGAAGAGTTGCTGCCCCTGATGTTTGACCAGATGCACGTCCTTACAGATCTGCTGGAAAGTCACCTGTGGGAGAGCAGAGCACTGGGTAGCACTGGGGTAGCCAGTGCCAGGGCCCAAGTGTCAGAAGGTCTGGCGTCTAGGCAGGGTAGCATGAGGGACTGGCAATGATTCCCAACAGAGAATGAGAAAGGAGGTTACTCACTGGAGCAGGAGGCCCAGGCCCCTCGGCATCACCCCCATTGCTATCACTGGAGGAGCCAGGGCTATGGAGAGGACCGGGGGACATCAGAGGGCCGACTCCACAGAGCCCCGTGGGGCTGGAGCTGTGCACAGGCTGCAGCAAGGAGAAGAACGGGTCGGTCAGAGGTCTGCATCCTGCTTCCCGACCACTTCGCCCCTGACCTTCCTCAACTCTCACCTGCAACAGCAGTCGATGGATCTGCTCTGAGAGCTCCTGTATGTCAGAGTCCAGGGACAGAGCTGGGCTGGGGGCTGGGGGGGTGAAGACGTCCTCATTCAGGGGTGCCCTGCAGGACGATGGTAAGGGTGACTACAGTCCCTTCCCTGACCCTATCATATTGCCCCATCCGCAATGCCAGCTCAGAGACAGGGCACACTTACGTGCGGACTTTATGGCGGCCCAACACGAAAGCCACCTTGCGACTCCAGGGGTGTACAAAGCCGGCCCAGCTGGTGTCCATGGTGACATACTCCCCATTCCGAGCACAGAAACGAATAGGAGAGTGGTCAAAGGGCTGGCCTGCCAGCTGCAGAACTGTGGGAGCAGGAAAGAAAAAGGCGTTAGTGGGTGTGAGAACTGAATAAAGTGGGGAGAGACACACAGAGAGATCCAAGAGACCAAGGCATTGAGAGTCACCACCACAAAGGCAGCTAAGAAACCCTGGGGACAAGCAAGGAGAGCAAGATGAGGACTCACTCTTCTTGTGAATGGCCAGCATGAGAGGCCGGTCCTCAGGATGCAGAAAGAGGAGCACTGGAGCCCCCAGGAGATCCTGGGGCAGGTAGCCCAGCAGGGGCGCAGCCCTGCAATGACAGAAGGCGTCAGATCATGGCTTGGCCCTGGTTACCCACCTTCCTCCCAGTCTTTACCTTACCTTTCATCTACATCCTGGAAGAGGCAGCTGGGTGTGTGCCGTGTGGTGAAGATCCTCTTGTCAGGAGGGATCCGGGGAGCTGCAGCATAGAACATGGAGGTTTCATCCACAATGGTCTAGCTCCTCAGCCCTCCTCTCTGCCTAGGGTCTGGCTGCCCGGCATGCCTCCTCTCAGCTCAGACCTGGCTTTATGGCCCATGGAGAGTCTGAGTCATCTGGTGACTCATACCAGAGATGACACTGAGAATCACTGACATATTCTCTTTCTCCTGTCACACCTCAGGGATCTGTCTCATCCTACTCTACCTCCAAGCAGGGCCTTATAAAGACCCCTCTTAAAATATGTCCTAAATCCTAAGGACCCAGCCCATGCCTCCCAGACTCTCATCTTGAACTTCACCCCATCCTAGAGGGAAAAGCTTCCATCATCCCCCAGGCCAGGGCCCTAGCCTATCCACCTTCATAACCAGAGTGGATGCGCTCTGCAATGAGTAGGCAGCATGGCTGTGCAGGGGCCCCATCTGAGACCCGAATCTTGGTCACATATGGGGTCAGGCGGAATGGCTGGTACCGAGGCCCTGGATCCCGGTCAGGACCTCCTCTGGCAAGGGAAAAATGAACATTAGAGGTTTCCAGTGGAAAGCTGCCCACCCCCTTGTCAAAGTCACAGCCCATATCACAGAGGCAGCAGGGATGAGGAGGGGAGAGAGGCCTGCTCCTACTCCCACTACCTACCTGATTCGGCAGAAGACAGACTTTTCCTGGGTAAAGTCCTTGAGGCCTGAACCTAGACCAGAAGGGAGGACAGTTGGCACAGCACCGCCCCTTCCCGGGCTGAGAGGAGCCCAGGAAACGGAAGCTTGGGTCCAGGCTGCTCAGGGCAGAAGCTTCCTGGAGCTGTCCAGTCCTCTGCATAGCATAAGGGCACTTTACCTGCAGAGGTCCCAGTGCCCCAGGTGGGCAGTCGAGATGGTGTAGTGGAGCCATAGAAGACACCCACATCCTGGGGAGCTAGTAGCTCTGAGAAGCGGGCACCCCGAAACACATCCCGCTTGCAACGCAGCAGGACGCCTGCCTGCTCCGAAATATAGACAATCCGGCCTGTCAGGAAGGACACGGCCACGGAGAAGGTATCCTAGGATGAGACCAAGATCAAGAGAAGATTTAGGAGCTGCAGGAATGGGGGTAAGGGTGTGTTAGAACCGAGGGCCCAAGCTGCAACTGACCTGGTTCCGAAGAGTGTATTCGGATGTGATATGCTCCAGTTCCTCCAGGGTGTAAGTAGACATGTCCATGGCACAAGGCTCACCCTCCTCCAGACTCCACTGCTGATAATACTCCTGGTTAGCTGTAGGACAAGGGTATTCAAGCCATATTCAGTAAGGAGAACGGTACCTACAACAGTCCATGGCCTGGCCACACCCTGCCGGGAAGCACCACTCACCCTGCACCTGCTTGACACAGGCCAAGGCATACTGCAGTGTGGCCAGGGTTCCAGAGCGGCCCTTGCCCCGACGCTCTGGTGGCAGTCGAAGTTTGAGCTCCCGTAGGGCAGTCATGAGTTCTTTCTGGGTCCTGGCTCGAGCTGACTGTTCACTGCTACAAGGCCCACAAGGAATGAAGGGGTGAAGACATTAGCCCCAGAGTCTAGCCCCAGGCCCCAGGCATCAGGTCCCACAGCCCTCAGGCCACACACCTGCAGCCACTGGTAGATGGGTTGTCCTGCTCCGAGCTTGCACTCAGGAGGCTGTAGGCAATGGAACTGCTCGGTGGGGATGGGCTCTGAGAGTTGGTACTAGAAAAGAAGCAAAGAGCCCAAGATGAGGGTCATGTGATCAACAGCGCCATGCTATCCCCTAGCTCTCCAGACCTCTGCTCCAGACTCTGCAGCATGTGCGCGCACACACACACACACCTCTTGCTGCTCTCGGTGGTCTCCAGCAGGGCTGAGTCCTTGCCATTGCCAGAAGAGGAGCTGTGGGAACTCCGCTGAGATGCACCCCTGGACTCGTGGCCATTGGATTCATTGCCACTTGAACCGTTGCTGTTCGCATCCGTATCATCAGCCAGGCTGCGGCCTGGACAAGGCCGGTGCTGTGGGGCCCCAGGGGATGGGACTCCTCCAGGACAAAAAGGTTCTCCGGGCCTGGGGTCTCCTCCCCCATCAGCCCCTTCTAGGGGGCCACTCATGTCTGGGCCATGCAGTGGAGAACAGAACAGAGAAGGTAACGAGGCCACCACGGGTACACAACGGGCCTTCTGAGGCCTGGATAAGGGAGGTAGCCCCGTCCCTGAGGGCTGACTAATTTAATCCCAGCACCTAGAAAAAGAAACCAAGAAGGAAGGTTTAGCAAAGCTGAGCCGTTAACCCCACAGCATCTACTGGCCACATTCAGTCCTTCCTCTGCCAGTCCCTCGCTGATGGGATTCAGGCCTGGGGCTTGCAATAGAAAACTAAGGTTGCTTCCGTTCCCCCTAAGGATACCACAGGTAGGAAGGCAGCTCTCTTGGGCCTTCTCTTACGCCCCCTGCCAGAGTGGAGTGAACACAGCCTGAACAATTAACTAGAACTATGGCTATAGGACAAAGCTTGCAGGTTTGCTATCCCCAAATTCTCATCAGGTCCCGACTTGGTCTGGGACTCTGAGGCCTCTCGGAGCAGGGGGTGAGCGGATCGCCTCCTATATTTAGGCTTCCGGGCTAATTTTATCCGGGGGCGGTGCCACCCCCGCTGCACATGCGCGTCGATGTGCCTGGCCCCACCACGCGCTTCCGCCACAGCTACGGTCGCCAGGGAAACCGACGTCAGCCGCTGAGCTCAGCGGTTGCTGGAGGGACCACAGGAGGGCAGGAACGACCCCTCCCCCAACCCCTATTGCTGTGTAAGTGGAAAACGGACCCACTCCCACACTGGCCAAACCACCCCTATACTGGCCAGCAAGGCCCGGGGATCACCCACCTTAACAAATTCCCAGGGCCCAGGGAGCCATGTGACGAGATGAACTATAGGGACTCCAGAAACAGGTCCTAGCCTCCCCAGGGAGAAATACACGGCCTCTGCTCTCTGTGGAAACGCCCCCATCCTAGCTCTTGCCTTGATCATCCTTCTGATCAAGACACTGCTTTTCTTTCTCGGACCCCTGCCCACTCCCAAACATCAGGACTGCGATTACCACTTGCTATAGAGAAGGACCCAGGCATCTTTCCCAGTCCCCTACTTTCCTAGTTAACCCTACCACAGCATCAATGCCTTAGGTCGGGGACACACAACAACCAACATACAGTTCTTCCTCTACTCCTTGTCTAACCACACCCCCATCCCAAGTATTTTCCGAGCACCCGGAGAAAAGGGAAGGCTGCGTCCAACAGCAAGAACTAGCGCTGGAACAGGATGTTCCAGCGTGAAGCGGCTGACATCACGACCGGCATGGGGCCAGGAATTGGAGGGAAGAAAGCAGAGACTGCAAAAACCCGAAGGGGTCTTTGTGCCAGGGTAAACCCGAGGACCCCCGAGTGACAAGAAAGGGGTAGAGGCCATGTTCACTAAAGGTCTGTTGTTGGGCTTAGGATGGCTGCGCCGGAGAAGCAGGGCAGGAGGTAAGGTGAGCGAATAAGAAATGCAGACAAGCCGTGAAGGGTTGAACACCTAGGGCCCCAGGGGCGGGGAAGGGGTGGACAGTGAAAAGAAAGGCGGATTACTGCTTTGCTGTCCAAGCACCAGAGCTCAAAGTGACCCATCACACTGGAAGTAGTGGTAACCAAGCTCCGGGAGAAAGACTAGCCCTAGGATTGCAGCAGAGATCCCTACCTGGCCGTTCGAGCGCCCTCCAGCCGCCTGCCGTTTCAGCCCGCAGCCGAGAAGCTCCGAGAGGCTGGGAGGCGGGTTGCATAATGCCAGGCCCTGCCCCTCATTGGCCTTCTGCCCGAAGAGCCGCAGGCCCCGCCCCCAGTTGGCGAAGGCTCTCTCCCTGGCACCTGATTGGCTACTGGCTCCCACTGAGGTCAGGGCTGTGTCACACACATCCTTGCACGTGGACTTGGGTGCTGGTGCTGGGCTGAAGGGCCTCAGACACCGCTCAGTCAACCAATGGGCTCCGGGTGCCTCGCACAGTGAATGATGGAAGAGAAGGGGGGGGGGCGCTACCCCTTTTCAGGGAAAACGTCTGGGCCACAGTGGGTGCTCAAGAGAAACCTCCTTCCTGAACTGAGCAGCCTTGCAGAACAAGACACCTGTCCAGGAGCCAGTTGAATGAAATGTCTGATAGTCATGGGAAGTGGGAGAGAGAAAAGCCTAGACTGACATTCCCTGGCTTCTCCTCAACCTTATCAAGAAACTGATCCCTTCCTCTGACACTTCAGATCCTGGGAGAAGGGCAACTGAGGGTCCACGTGTCATTAAGGGGTGAGTGGGGGGTGGGGGGATACAGATAATGGAAAGGGCGGCGAGAGCCAATGGCTACTATGAAAGGAAACAAAAGCAGGTGCTTCGATGGCCAATCAGGGAAAAGGTCTCCAGGCAGCCTACTTGGTGACTAGCTCTGCCTCTCTGCAGAGGATGCAGCCACCCACATTTAGGGCTGCCCCCAAAGTGGGGGCCAGGAAACCAGGACTACAAAGGGGGCAGCAGAGAGGGCAGTTGAGGCCCTAGGCAGAAAAACGTGGGGTGGCAAGAGTTTTATATTCCTGCTGCTTAGAAAAAGAAAGGTAAAGTTCGAGCAGCAGCCGTCTCAAGTCTGTCAGTGTCTGTCAGGACCTGACACACAGCAGACTGACGGTAAAACGTGATGACTTTGTGTCTATCAAGGATAGGTAAGGGAGAGGGAGCCTCGGGAGGAGAGGACGCAACAAATCACAACTTAAAAAAGAAAAGTAGAGCACTGCTTCATAAAAAGAGAACAGGGGCTTGATTGGGGGGATGACGTGCCAGTCTGGGTTCAGGAGAGCTGTAGTGGCAGAACCCCTCTATCCAGAACTGTGCTGAGCAGTCCTTCTCAGGGTTCCCTGGAAACGTAGGTGGCAGGTGAGGAGGCCACCGAGCAGGTGCTGACATAATCAGCTGTAAGTGCACGCCCCTCGCTGTCACGTGGCTAAAGCTTTCCTTAACAATAGTGTTTGCCCTGGAGGAGGCGGAGGGGCAGGGATCTGTAGAAAAGCTGGGACACACAAGTGTTATAAAGTAACCCAGAAAAACAGAAGCAGGAAAACGGAAAACAAAAGACAGGGGCGCCTGAATCCCCAGCTTCCTCTTCCTGAAAATGATCCTGCTTTCCTGCCCCCTCGTACTATGTGTGACCCTGTTCACTCCCTTTTTGTTTTCCAGACCCCTTTCTCCCTCCACAGCTCTCGAGGATTTAGGTGTGATTCCTCTGACCCAAAGAGCCATTGCTCGCCCACCTCCGTATCTGCCATTTACACAGACAAAGGGTTTCAGCGCTCCAACAGCCCCCACCTGATCCCAAGGCCCAGGTTGTCAGGTCTCACCGTCCCCACAGTAACCAGGCTCTGCTGCCGTCAATGGAGAAGAGGGGGCGGGAGACAGTGGTGACGTCAAAGCGGAGGAAGGAGGCGGGGCGAGGCAGCTGGGGAATGTGGGGCAGGGAGGCTGGAGAGGCAGCGGTTTGGGAGGCAGCCAGCCCCAGAGGGCGGCGGCCAGCGCACTAGGGAACATCGTGTTCTCTTGGCTGGTGGCCCAGGACATGCACTCAGACTTGGCGCCTCCCCCAACCCACCGACAGCCGTCCTGTACAAAAGCCAAGGATTCCTGGAGAGACGGTTAGAAGGAAGGGGTCCCCCTTCCCTGCCCCCATGGCTGGCTCTCCTTTTGGGACTTGGGTTTGTGGACCCCCAGCTGGTTCTTACAGCTCCTGGCATTGGCTTTTCCCTTTAACCAAACTGCACACAGCCGCTGGCCAGGTACCAAAGAGCCACCGCGGGTAAACTGGAGGCCCAGGCTCAGAGAGGGAACGCGCAGCTTTGCTCCTTCCCAGAGGCCCCCTTCAGAGGCGGGATTTCTAGTTACTATTACAGCACAGAATAGATGGGAGGGGGGTCGGGGAGAAACTGGGACAGAACAAGTCGCCTCAGTCTGGAGCCCAGCTCTTGGGAGAGGAATACAGGGGAGGGATGATGGAATTTGGGCTGGTGCCTGCAGACCAGAAAAATCAGGAAGAGGGAAAAGAGGAGTCATCAAAACTTGCAGAAAAACAGAAGATGAAGGTTGTTCTGAGCCACAAAAATCACAGAAATCCCTAACTCCATCACTACTGTTTTGTTACCTTATAGTTTGTGTTTTAAATGACCCGAGCATTGTGCTTAAGTATTCCACATATACTATTCTTTTTTAAGTCCCCAAACTGATGATAGATATTACCCTCATTTCATGAGGGACACCTAAGACTTAAGTAGTTACTAAACTTGCCTAATTGTCTGCTTCATAAACATGTTCTCAGCTTCCTAACAATGAAGCCCAAGATTTGGGCTCTGATGATGGCTGGTTCTGGCTTCGTATGCTCAGGGACCCTGTAAGTGTTACCAAACCTCTACTCTGCATTCCAGCACCGTCAAACCAGGACCTCTAAAATATCCCCCTGGTTCTAAGTTTGGTGCCTAGAACACAAGCTGCATCTCAAGATTCAGCCTGATCTCAAGGCATCGTTTGTACTCCACACACCACCATGGTTCATTTTTTCTGTGATCAAAAACTCTTGAGATCATCAGAGAAGTCTCCAACCACAATGCTTTCCTAGGAACCTCACTTCCTCCCTCTCCCACCTCCACCCAGGCCTGACTGTCTAGACATCAGAGCAGCCTTTTGGTACCTCCTCCCCTCCTGCAGCTCGAGAAGAGTGGGCAAGCCGGTATATAGAAACCCTCTACCCTATCCTCCCTTTCAGAATCCAACAAATTGCTAGCCCATTTCTCTTTACAAGCATGTCCCTGAGACCACAATGCTATCCTTTTCACGTGAAAAAGTAATCCATAGTCGTGATGAGACAGCCTCCGAGTCACACAAATCAGCACACTAACCTTTCTCAGATCACCATGTCACGTTCCTACCTGCCCTACCAGGGCCTTTCTCCAGGCTCAGACTCTCTGCCTCTTCCAAGTGCCTTGGGAGCCTACCCAAACCTTAACCAGCTCTCAGGCTTCAGCTCCCTCGGGTGGCTGAGGGCTTCTGAGCACTCCGCGCTAGGCAACAGGGTCCAGGGACCCTAGAGAGGTGAGCGATCTGATGCTGGTAACTCCTATCCATGCCCCCCTAGAGCTGAGTTTGCAGTCCACAACCATCAAGCACTCCTACTGCAGTTCTCACACATTTGCATGATCCCACACCACGCCACTGACACCCCTTTTGGCCGAGCACACCTCCCCGGAAAAACCCATTTCGACCGCCCCGGAGTAGGGGGCTACTCACGGTTGCAAGCGCACGCAGAATCCAAATTTCTTCACTACTGGGGACGTTGGGTAGCTACTCCACAGGCTCCTCCAGGCCCTCCCACTGCCCATTCTGTCACGCCTCCCAAGCTTATTGGCTTAGAGGCGCTAACCCATGCCCCGCTCCGCGTGCAGCCGACAAGCCCCTGCAAAGCCACCATTGGCACTTCAGAGCGCAGTCATCTTCCCATTGGACAACGTGACAACCGGTAGTGATAGAGCCACGTGAGGGAGGGGGCGCCCCAGCGCGTTGATTGGACATCTAACCGGAAGCCACACCCCTCGCCCACTCCCAAAGCTTTTATTGGCTGTGGTAACAACCCCGCCCTGCCTAATCGGTGACGCAAATGCCAGCCCTGCCCTAAAAACTTTCTCATAGGCTGAGGTCTCGGAGCTGTAGGGAACACGTGCAGGCCGGCTCACGCGGCAACTTGTTTACCGAGAAGCTGGGGATTTTCCTTGACGACACTTACCCAAGACTGTGGAGTCTGCGCAGGCGTACCAAGCGACTTGTACGCAGGCGTAGATGTGACAGGCTATGGCGTAGTGGGGATACTTAGTAAAGAGACCCTGCCATGACAAGAGGCTCCTGGCGCCCGAGTTTTGTGTCTCTGATTATCCCCAAAGCTTAAGTCTGAGTATTAAAGAGGTCTTTAGATTGCATGACGACGAGAGTGAAAATGACAGTCTCCTCCTGTTTTCTGTGCCAGACGCTTCTTGCAGACTCCAAGAAGGCCGGCTCACTACCCATAACCTCAGAGACTGAGATCCAGGGTTACATAATCTGTCAGAATTCCCATGTTAACATGTTGATTAAAGAGCTCTGACACCGTGAAGGTATATCGGTGTCTTAGGGCCTATGGAAACCTTAAACCTAGAAGCAATTTCAAGGATTAAATGTAAAAAGCCTAACATATTTAAACTCTCCATAAAGATAGAAGTTAGAACAGAGTATTGCTAAATACAAGACACCTGGGCACCTTAAAGCCTCTGAAATAATCTCCAATGTAAGGGCCTGAAAAATCTATTTTTAAAAGTACCTCTAGTAGTTCTTATTTCTTGGCTAGGTGTGAAGGCGCACGCCTTTAATCCTAGCACCAGGGAGGCAGAGAGGCACTCTCTGTGATTTCGAGGCCAGCCTGGTCTACATAATGAATTCTAGGACAGTCAGAGCTACATAGTGAGACCTTGTCTCAAAAAAAAAAAAAAAAAAAAAAAAAAAAAAAGTTATTTAGACAGGGTCTCACTATGCAGACCAGGCTGGCCTCAAACTCAGAAATCAGCCTGCCTCTGCCTCCTGCATGCTTGATTAAAAGCCTGCACCACGCCTGGCCCTCTAGTGATCCTTAGCCACTCACTTCCCTCTAGGTTCAACTGCCCTGGAGAGGCAAGGATCGCCATCGCCCAGCAAGTGCTACACACACTGGCAGGGACTACTCCCCATACTCTGAATACAGCGGGCAATCGGAAGCACCGCCTCTTCCCTCTACGGCTACGTCTCAGTGATGCTCCTGAAGTGTATACATGGTGACAGGGTTTGCGTACAGTGCTTTGAGAGTTCAAGAGAGGGGCTGAAGTGGCAATCACACACCAGAGTGCAAGGGCAGTATGCCATCGACAGCCAGCTTTATGCCGGGGGGCTTTGTCTCATCAAGCTGATTCTTTCAGTCATTCATTAGCCCATCTGGATGGCTGGCACTGTGCTGGACAGGGGAAGAAACGCTCCCACAGAAGCGGCCCAGGAGTGGACGGCTATGAAAGAGCCTAAGGGGTAGCCAGAAGTGAAACTTAAGAGATAAAGGAGTTCAATGGTAGCATCATACTCCAGGCCAGGGAGATGAGGAGCTGGGAACCCCAGGCTGTAGAGCTCACCTGGCTCTTTCTAATCTCCTGGTGCCCCACATGGCCACTTTGGGAATTACACTTTGTAAGGGCCCAATTGGGGTTAGGGCCTCCAGCAACAGGCCAGCTCCTCCCAATGAATCTTTTCAACCACTCATTATATCTGAAGATCCAAAACTCTTTTTTTTTTTTTTTTTTTTTTTTTTTTTTTTTTTTTTGGTTTTTCGAGACAGGGTTTCTCTGTGTAGCTTTGCGCCTTTCCTGGAACTCACTTGGTAGTCCAGGCTGGCCTCGAACTCACAGAGATCCGCCTGGCTCTGCCTCCCGAGTGCTGGGATTAAAGGCGTGCGCCACCACCGCCCGGCCCAATACTCTTACTACTGGTTAAGAAAAAGATTGTAGACACCACCTGGTTACTCATTACACGTTTATTGTACATTTTCACAATCTGGATGCGCCACAGAATTGGGGGCATGGGGTAGGGGAAGAAGGAAGGCAGGGGACACTGGGATAATATTGGGGGTCTAGAACACAAGCACCCCCACCCCCAGCATCTCTCCTACCCTTTCACACCACAGTTTAGATCTCCTTGGTTCCCCTCCACACAGAAAACCTGGTGTGTGTGGGGGGGAGAGTTTGGGGACACTCCCCCCCAGTGGCAGGTTAAGGGGCTGTACCCTCAGACCCCTAAAACTGTGCCATTTAAAAAGGTTAGATCCTTCTATCATTTCACGCAAGAAGGGAATAAATAGCTTTCAGTCTCTCTCTTTCTCTCTCTCTCTCCCCCTCTCTTTCTGGGCTCAACAGCCCTGGAGAAAGGCAAGGATCCCCATCATCCAGCAAGTCCCATACACATATTGGCAGTGACTAGTACCCCCGCCCTGAATACAGGGGGGCAGTCTGAGGAGCTGGGCAGTGATGGGGGGCAACACCCCCCCCAGATTGGGGAGGAAAGTTTTCAGTCCAACCTCTAGCAAGGATGAGGCCAGAGGTTTCAGGCAGGAATTGGGAGGATTCTATCTTGTTCTACTCTCCCCAAGGCAGTGATGACACACACACACTGGAGCCACCCTCCTCAGAGTCAGATTGTGGTCAGCCCCCGCTTCTCCTGGTGGGAGGAGGAGGCAGATCAGGCAGATGGGAGGGAGGGAGACCCCTGGGAATGTCAGTTGAGTGCCCCACATGAAAACTGGGGAGCAGGAATGTAGGGAGAGACCCCGAGTGGCAGAATTATTGGTCCATCATAACACACTGAACTCCGAGACACTTACACACCAGCTGGGGGAGGGGGAGGAGGGTACAAGAGGTTTGGAAAACGGGGAAGGGGGAAACTAGACTAGAGGGGCTGGGAGGGGGCAATCCTGGGGCCCAGAGCAGCCTGGTTCCCCAAAAGCCCAGGCTCCCCACCACCTGCAGGTAATGTCGTGCAAATGAAATGGGATAAGAGGACCAATGGAGACTAACTCTTCAGAAAAGAAAGGAAAACACACTAGAGTGAAGAGATGGAACAAAAAGGAGGGAAACGGAACACGCGTTGGTATGCAAATGATATGCTAATTAATGTTGGAAGCTCCCAGAAAACCTTGGGATTCTTAGGACCAAGTGGGACCAGTCTCAGAGCCTTCCAAGGGATACAAAGATGCAACCTAGGGAAGCCTGGACAGGTGGGAGTGTTTGTTGGTT